TTCTTTCTTTCTTTCCCCCCTTCCCTTCCCTTCCGGCTGGGGAATTCTGGGAATTGAAGCCCACAAGTCTCTCTCTCTCCCCGTCATCTATCTATCTTTCTTTCTTTCTTTCTTTCTTTCTTTCTTACTTTCTTTCTTTCTTTCTTCCTTCCTTCCTTCCTTCCTCCTTCCTTCCTTCCTTCCACCCTCTCCCCTCTTCCTTCCTTATTCTCTTTCTTTTCCTTTCTTTCATCCCTCCCTCCCTCTCTTTCCTTCCTTCGTTCTTTCTTTCTCCTCCTTCCTTTCTCCCTACCGCTTTCCTTCCTTTCTTTCTTTTCCTTTCTTCCCTCTCTTCTTCCTTCTCCTTCCTTCCTTCCTTTCTCCCTCCCTCCCTTCTTCTCTTTTCGTCTCTTCTCTTCTCTTCCCTTCTGGCTGGGGAATTCTGGGAATCAAAATTTACCCATCTTCAACTTCCCAAGGTCGAGAAACACCAATTTTTAGTCCTCAATCTTCAATCACATTTAGGGCCAGAATTTCCGTTGTTAAGTAAGGCAGTTGTTGAGTGAGCCATGCGCAAGTATGCAACCTTTTCCATCACAGTTGTTTAGTCAATAACTGGAACCCCAGGGAGTGGAGTAAAAGTGGAGTAGTGGAACTACGAAAGTGGAGTAAACACGAACTGCAGAGAATGGAGTAGACGTGGAGCAGAGTCTACCTGTTTATGTTGGCTAACTCTTCATCTTTTGGTTTTCAGGATTGATTTCTTCCCTTCGGGACGGAGTTTTTGGATATCTTCTGACGGACTTCTGTCCTTCTCCACCTAGTTACTCCTCAGTCCAACACTACTATCTTTTCCTGTCCTCCCTGCCTTGGCTCCACAGCGGCCACCGACTTGCAAATTGTATCTCCCCAGCCTCTGAGGAAGACTTCGCTACTCCTCGTTGGGACCTTGCAATATCTAAGGTCTCTGCAGGATGCAATTTGCAATTACACTGCCTGTACTACCTGTAGTAGTAAATGAGTTTACTACTCTGAAAATTGTTTCTTGAAACGATTAAAAGTGTTGACTATGACCCTCTCATGCATCTATTAAATCTACCTGTTAGTAGTAAAAGAACACTTTATTACTATAAACAACCTCCCTGTTGTATCTACCTGTACCTGTTCTAGTAAATGAATGTACTCTGAGTAATAACCCTTGTAATTATGAACAATAGCAACGCTCTACCTATATATATTACACTTCCTGCCTCTAGTACTAAATGAGTAGTTTACTACTATGAGTAACATTTCTTCTATTAATAATTTCAACTATATTCCACCTATCTATTAAATTTGCTACTGTAATAATACATAATTAGCTTACTACTATGAAAAATAATCCTGGTAACTTAATAGTTTTAACTATGATCCACCCATATGCCTATTACATTTTCCTATAGTAGTAAATGAGTAGCTTAATACTAGGAATAATAAGCTTTATAACTATTAATGGTTTTAGCTATAATCCACCTATACATCAATTATATCTATCACCAGCAGTAATAATTACTTTACTAATATGAGTAATAATCCTTCTAATAGCTTCAACTACAATACACCTAGATGTTTACATCTACTCCCTGTAGTAGTAAATGAGTAGTTCACTACTATGAGTAATAATCCTTGTAACTATTAATAGTTTCAACTGCAATACACTTACATCTGGATAGCATCTTCTAGAAGTAGCAATGAATGAGTAGTTTGCTACTAGTTTACTACTAAACTACTAATAGTTTACTACTATGAATAATAATCTTTATAAGTAACTGGTGAGCAGATTAGAGCAGATTAGAGTTTCTCCCTATTTTTTTTGCAAATCTTCGTTTGGAAAAGCTCAGGAAACGTGGCGTAAACGAGGATATGAGGTTTTGTGTGTTGGTATGTGTGTGCGTGTGTGTATGAGTGTTGGTGTGTTTCTGTGTGTCGGTGTGTCGGTGTGCAAGACAATTGGCAAGGCGATGGGCGGAATGTTGTGGTCGCAAGAATTCAAAAGTGGCACCACTCATATCACAAAACTAAATTTGCACCTTGATTCATTCAGAATAAGTAGTTCTCGACTTACGACCGGTTGCTGAGCTACCATTCACTTACAACCTGGATCCTTTCTGACAGTCACAAACACACACAACCACTCCGCAGTCAGGTGACCACATTTCGGATTTACGTCCGTTGGCCGTATATCCCACGATCAGGTGTTCACATTTTACGACACGGTTACTGAAAAAAAACCATTTGTTTCTAGTTTTTGGAACTAACGAATGATGTGTTTGCACGTATGACGGCTGTGTTCGCTTGATGACCGCCGCAAAAAGGTTATGAAATCAGGCCAGTTCTGTGACTGACCTGTTTTATGACCGTCATGACTTACGACCGTGATGGGCAGGCTCCATTGCAGTCGTATGGCGAGGACTACTGGTGCTGCCTTCTGCCCTGGGAACACCCACTGGTTGCAAAGGGAGACTCCAGGAGTGCTGAACGAGACAAAAAAATCCTCTTAATTTCTCCCTTAATGATGAGCCAAACTGTCTTTTTGCTCTTTGCCGATCCGCCATGGAGACTGTCCTCAGACTTGGCTCCCTTTAAACCTGCTTGCAGAGGAAGAAATGTTTTTGCCAGATCCTGGCTTACGAAAGGCTTGCAAATCTTGTGATTGACTGTTAAACCCTGAATTCAGCTATCCAATAGGGAATGGGGAAGATCCTTCCTTCCTTCCTTCCTTCCTTTCCTTTCTTCTTTCTCCTTTCTCCTTTCTTCTTTCCTTCCTTCCTTCCTTCCTTCCTTTCCTTTCTTCTTTCTCCTTTCTCCTTTCTTCTTTCCTTCCTTCCTTCCTTCCTTCCTTCCTTCTTTTTCTTTCTTTCTTTCTTTCTTTCCTTTCTTCTTTCTCCTTTCTCCTTTCTTCTTTCCTTCCTTCCTTCCTTCCTTCCTTCCTTTCCTTTCTTCTTTCTCCTTTCTCCTTCCTTCCTTCCTTTCCTTTCTTCTTTCTCCTTTCTCCTTTCTTCTTTCCTTCCTTCCTTCCTTCTTTTTCTTTCTTTCTTTCTTTCTTTCTTTCCTTTCTTCTTTCTCCTTTCTCCTTTCTTCTTTCCTTCCTTCCTTCCTTCCTTCCTT